ATATACCCAGTCTCCAGGCTGGATGCGATGTGCTGGGACATTGGCAGGGGGGGGGTGGCTTAAAGCAGCATACCTATGGAGAGATTTTAACTGAGACTGTAGAGATAAAATATAAGAGGTGAGTCCTTCATCGCCTAAAAGAGAAGAAGTGTGAGCCGGTAGTAGGGGGAAGTGTTGGGGGACAGGGTGTCTAAACAGCAGTTTGTAAGGGCTGAGCTTTAGTTTTTCTTTAGGGGTCGTTTTGATGGACATAAGGGCCAGTGGGAGAATCTTAGTCCATTTTAACCCGCTCTCAGCACATAGCTTTTCAATTTTTGTTTTAGGGTCTGATTTATTCTCTCTACTTGTCCTGAGCTTTTTGGGTGCCAAGGGGTATGGAATTTTTATTTTATTCCTAGGCAGCTGGCCAGTGTTTTGTTTATGTTAGCAGTAAAATGTGATCCTTGATCGCTTTTAATGATATGTGGAGGACCAAACCTGGGTATAATTTTATTTAGTAGTAAAAATACTCCTTGTTGTGCTGTAGCTCTTCTGGTGGGGAAGGCTTCTACCCACCCCATGAGTTGGTCAATAATTACTAGGAGGTTTTTGTACCCATTGTCTTTAGGCATATCAGCAAAATCTATTTGTAGTCTTTTAAAGGGAGTATAAGCCCAGGGGCGGGCTCCAGGGGGTCCTGATTTTTTTTCTTTGATATTAAACTTTTTGCATATACTGCAGTGTTTTAAAAGCCTTTTTGCTTCCTGGTAGACTCCGGGTGTGTAGAACAGCCTGTTAGTGATAGTGGCAAGTTTTTTATAACCTAAATGCTCGCTTTGATGGAGTTGTTGCAGATAGGGTCTAAGGGCTGCTTTAGGTAGCACTATTCTTTCATCTGGCAATCACCATATTCCATCTTTTTCACAGGTGGCTCCTGCCGCTTTTTATCTCTGTTGTTTTAAAGGTGGTGCAGACTTGTATATGTTGGGCTCCATTTATATCTACATGACCTGCAATTACACATTTGGACCACAACATATCCTCAGTCACTATTATGACTTAATTAGGGAAGCTGAGATGAATAATTCTTTCCATTGTAGGTGAGACAGGGAGACACTGGTCTTCGTTCTGCAAGAGTCAGATTAGATCAGGTGTCGCTTCTGGCCTTAAAAATCTACATACCCCAGGCCCGGCACATGTACCACAGCATGGCACATGAAGGCATTTTGCTTGGCATGTGTGCCTTGGGGCAGACGGTGGGGAAAGGGCTGGGGCTGCACTGCCACAACAAGGACTGGGCCTCTCATGGCTCTCCTGCTGTAGTCCCCTGGCACACCAACATCTTACAAGTTGAGGTTGTGGGTATTTTTGGCACACTGCCCAAAAACATTGCCGACCCCTGATGTACCCATTTCCATGCAGCAATTCTGTATTTTTTAAAGTGTGTAAAGGGATGCTCTAGGATTTTTATTTTTGTTTACACTAAAACATCATCAAAACTGACAACATGGCTCAAAATACATGCTTCTGATTTACACCTCAGCTTTGAAATAACAGCTTTTAGTTTGTGTTTTTAGTAAGAATGACAACAATCTTACAGACATATGTAATATGAAAGTAGTCCTGTATGGCTCAGAAAATGGGTTTGATGCAATAGGGAGCTTTTTCTTTCAGGTTTTCTGGTTCAGATCTTGTCCACTAGTCGTGGTCATGGTTTGTACCCCTCTGCTGTCTGTTTGGTGGCCTATGTGCAATAAGCTGGCAATTTTATTCAATTTCCTGAGAGACAGGCTCCTACATTCTATACCTGACATCTCTCATGGGCCTAAAATATGTGGAGGAGTTTGGTAAACATTTTCATAACTAAAGGATCCTTCTAGGCCACAATTTAGCAAACTCCTCCCTTTAGTATGATTAGTCCCTATGACTTCTGTTGGAATACTCATATTACTTGCATAGCTTGCTTAAATCTGGGCCTTAACTAGGCCTGAGGCACACTTGCAAAAGACTATGAGAGTAGCAATTAATACTGTTGCCTATCTTGTATCTGTCTCGTGGCGAGACAGGGCTGTCAATCTAGTACTTTCCAAAAGCATTAAACTCGCTTTTAAAATTAAAAAAAAAGAATAATCCCATTTGAATTTCAAGACTTTTCTAGGAAGTCGGTAATGGGACTGACTGGAGGCTCTCTTCAAATGCAGGAAATGGCACTGAAAACGTTTTCTGACAATGCCTGTTCCTATTGCTATAAATGCCAGTGTGATAATTGTATCTGGTGTATAGTTGTGCAATTGAAGGCAGTGACTGAAGGTGCTGAATTTACCTCTATGCAAAAAGGTTTGAGAGGATGAGAGAGTATGGTCCCTTTACCCATACATTGACAGCTGAAGCCACCGATAGGTAGTATATCTGCATCTCTCAAATTTTTTTTTTACTTCAGTACAAGAGCAAATCTAATTGAAATTTGAATTCTGCATTTTGCATCCTTTAAGTATACACAAAGAGGCTCCTATAAAATACTACTGTATGGTCCAGATTTAACAAACTGGATTTTGAATACTGACGTACATTTAACTGTGGCATTGCATAGGAGGTTAAAAAGTTAGGGATTAAGTTCTTACTTCATACTGACAAGCAATATACTTATTATTTAAGTGTGTGATAAATGTGTTCTTCTGAACAGATGTCCATTTCCTTCTATTTGAGTATCTCCTTGGTAGGTTTATTCCAGTGCCTGGTACATCTAAATTATGTTTAGGGCAATGCATCACAAATGCTTCACTAATCTGTATAGAAGGAACAAGGATTGTCTATGCATGTGCTCCAGGATGGGGGAGGGGTTAATTAGAGCAGCTCCTGGACAGCTGCTCTAATTAAAATGCTGCAGCATCACATATTTCAGTGTCCCGTGTTTCAAAATGGCTGTGAAGATTCTTTAGCTAAAGCTCATTTGATGAGTTCTAGTTAAAGCACCCCCCTCTTTTGAAATGTGGGATGCTGAATACATGTGACGCTGCAGTACACTGGAGCATTTTAATTAGAATACTCCAGAAGACTTGATTAATTGAGTCTGCTCTGACATGTTTTAATTAGAACGTGCCGGAGCATGTGTATAGGCACCCAAGGAATATAAAACAGAAAACATAGTTTTGCCTAGAAATATTTTGATAAGGTACAATGCAATGAAAGAGCATGAATGCACAATAAGATAACTGAAGTTTTAATATCATGTCCTGGGATTCTCCATACCATTTCATGGGCTATTTTAACAGATAAGATATAGAAGTGTCATTAGTGAAACATACATATTTGCCTGTATGCACAATTCTCTTCAAATCTACAGTGCTCCCAGCCAAAGACCTCATTGCCTTTTACAAAGATTAATAAATAGTTACCCACAGTTCCTCTGTTAGGTAAGCCTGATTTATATTTCATAGGTGAGAAGAAACTCAGACATGAAAAAGTTAAACTGTCTTGCCCAGAGCCACAAGAAATCTGAAGCAAACCCTAAAAACCTGCCTCACATTACCCAAAGCCCTGCCCTGCACCTTGCGCTTTATCATTTGCAGTATTAAAAAAATAAAAATAAGTGCACATACAAAGAGACAGAAAAAGATGATCAATATTATTCCCAAATTCTCAGAATGTTAGGAGTCTGGGATGTTTTAGACGGTCACTGCTGATGACAAGCAACTGATCAAGAAGAATAGCTGTGCATAAACTCAGGAGGAAAATAGTTTCCTTTCTTTGGTTTCCTGTTACATGGAAAATGTAACTTTTTAATTTGCCACTGGTGTGATCCCTAGAAGTTACAAGAGAGATGAGCTTTGGCTCTTCAAAGTCTTTCTCCTTTCAAAGTCCTGGAGCTCTCACTGGTGCTGACTGCATCAATGCTTACAAAAACGCAAGCAGTAATTATAAATGTAGGTTGACTCACTTTGGGGATGCTCAGTTGTGACACTTTCTGTTTCCCAGACCCACAGCATCTCCTGGGAATTGCTGGTACATACTGCCTCAAGTGAAGCACTCACATTTAATAATCAATTCTGAAAACTTTGACCTACAGGTCACTGAATTAAGCGCTTCATTTCAGCCCTGAGCAACTCGGAGGTCTGAAAAAGCACTGTGACAGCATGACCTCAGACACATAACACAGTGTCCATACAATAGCTGAATCCCCAACAATGCATACTTAATAATAGTGTTCAGTAGCATCACTGTGGATTAAATTGTGGAATCAACTGAAAACACAATCCCCTATATTGTGATCACTGTCACCAACTGGAGGAACGCAACTGCTGCAAAACACAGGATTGTAAATGATAACAGATCTTTTATGGCATGAAAAAACCCACATGCCTCTAGGCTGGTTGAAAGCAAATCCATCTAAAATGAGATCCTATCCATTTAAGAAGATAAAGTGTTAGATTTCAGGGAGGATCATACCCATACATTTATGTGCATTTGCAATGCATACATCTAGATATAATATATATACCATAATACATGTAATAGCACAAGGATTTTTGCCTCTCCAAAATCCCATCTCTTCTGACTCAAAATGTGTGAATACAACCTTTCCCAAGGTCACCTGTATATTGCCATATTTCATAATCTTGCACCTGACATGGGCAGATGGCCAGATCCCTCTTTAATAATAAAGTGTTTACTTCTATGCATCTTGTGCCTGACATTTATTGAGTACCTGGTAGGAAGGAGAAGAGAAAAATAAGTCAAGGACTGTCTACTACTGAAAACTGATGCAATTTCCCTTGCCCCTTTCAGCTAGGATATCTGTGCATCCCCTATTTCACAGAACTCCTTACCTCCTGTCCTCAGCACAATTCATCTCCTCGCTGCTGGGTTAACTGAAAATAGGGAATAGCTGCAGAATATGGAGTTTGAAGCCTCACTTGTGGGTGGGTGGAAGGCCAAACTGCTATGGGCCACTTAATTTGCAGAAAGCTGTTGCTGTCTCTGTCAGAGAGTCAGGAAGGTGTGTTGCCAGCTCCTCTCTGCTGTTACCAGAAGCTGCTAATCCCAGGATAGGAGGGGCGGGCCCAGAACGTCTGCTTTTCTGGCTGCTGCCCCACATGACATACAGGCTCTAGGTATCTGCAGGAAGTGTACATACACAATGTAGAGCTTCAGTCTGGAAAGTTTACACTTGCATGCAGACACCTGTCAGCCTGGTCTGATAAAATAATGGTAGGCAACAGATCTGCATAGATTCTCACATATCTGCACACATGCAGGCACAACCATCATCAGCATTTCCTTGCCCATTTAAATTCACAAATGACAAACCTTAGGGAGGTGTGGAAAGTGTTTTCTGGGAATCTACAGAGGTGATATATACTACATATAATTTTAAAAAAGCACATATCCAGGCCACTCTTCAGTACTTTTCCATTCTCATAATCACAAAGTGTGGCATGCCTGGTAGTTTTACAGATAGTTTAACTGGCATTTAGTCAAACCCAATCATATCAAAGGAAACACAAAGACAACCCATTTGAAATGGCTCTCTTTTGTTGAGCATGATGTTAAAGACACTAGAAAGCCAAGCATCTTTATTTCTGAAAGTGTTTGCTCTCTGACCTCGGAGCACACTCTGAATATTGTCCATGCTGCCTCAGGAAGGTCTTAAAGCAAATTTAAAATCTGAATAGGGTAAAAAACAAAAATGTACAGATGTTTTTAAGAAGACCTCTCATACTCTCTTACTAGACTCTTGACTCCCAGGCAGAACTCCTGGCCCCACAGGCTGTACCAGTGGGAGTCACACACTGTGTGAGCCATACCATAGCAAGCCATGTCCCCTGGGCCACTGTCACAGAGCACTCAGGTGCCCTGCTCCTAAAGAGGGGAAACTGCTAGGGAGGAAGCCCTAGCAGGGAATAAGGAGCCCAGCTGTTGGTTGCCAGGGCAACCAGAGGTCAGCTGACCAGAAGGGGCAGGGCCTGGCTCCCTTATAAACCCTAGGGGCTGCCCAGGAGGAAGGAGCTCTTTCTCATGGAAGAGAGGAGCAGTTTGACTGAAGGAGCAGTGTCTGACATGGCTGCTAAGGAGGATGACCTGGAGGCGTATATTGAGCCCTTTGAATGGCATGCTCTCGTGACAGGGTTGGATAAGAAGTTTGTGTTGCTGTTTGTCACCGGTGGTTTGGGTAAGGCTACTAGGGGTTGGAGGAGGCCTCATAGGAGACCCACAGCAGTGTGGGGACCCCAGTGCCAGTGAGGGTGCAGCATTTGGGGTGCACTGACCCCAAGCCCAGAAAAGGGGATGGGAGAAGCCCCGGAGGATGGGGCAGCACTGCGAGAAGCCCCAGAGAGAAGGCAGCGTTACTGTGAAAGCCCCGAGAGAGGGCAGCATTGTGGAGAAGGCCCCAAGGGGGGGCAGCATTACTGAGAAGGCTCAGAAAAGAGGGCACATAGTGAGAGAGGGTTGGGGAGAGCCCAAGTGCCGGAGAGGGTGCAAATCAAAAGAAGAAGGGGTCAGATTATAATAAGGCTAGGACATAACATCTATTCAATCGGCGAGGCGTGGGGGCTGTGGTGTAGGGGTGGAAATGGAGCCGCAGATAGTGCCCCCTGGCATTGAGGCAGTACAAGGGCAGCCTCCCACTAATTAACATCTATTAACCAATTAACAGCAAAGTGTGGCAGGTGAGAAGGCAGGCGGTTGCCCCAGGAGCAGGTGCGTGAGCCACTGAACAAAAGCCCCAGCAGAGCGGTGGCGAGGCGAAGGCCTCGGCGAGCCTATGGACTGTAGTTACGTGGTCGTTAGATCGGCCCAGTGCGGATACCTGTTACAGCCACACACCTCCACTGTACTGTACACACAGGCTCCCCCACACTACATTATGCTATACAGGCACCCCAGGCCACAAACTCCCTAGCCCTGCAGACTGTGCTGGATAGAGGGTAGCTTGGTGGGAGCCTGGAAGCCACAAATTAACCCCTTGTTGGCTGCATGCAGCCTGCTCCAGAGTATCCGCTGGATTTCACTGCCTATTAGGAGCTCAGATATACAGAACAACCTGCCAGATCCAGACTTCAGTGAAGCATGGGCCCACTGACCAGTGGGGTCAGTGCAATCTATTTGAGTGGTACAAATCCAAGCAGTGATATACTAAACGGTAAGAGAAAATTTAAATTCCACTGGTGCTCCATACTTCACTGCCCCAACCCCCTCCCATTCAACCTCCATACACTGTCCTGTTCTTCCCCCTCCATCTCCGCCCTGCAGTCTAACTTTCATGCTGGCATCACCACCTCCATTTCTCCCTACGCAACTTTCTGAATGTTTTTTAGACGGCTCACACTGTAGAGTCCTTCCTCGTCTTGCAAGAGCTAGAGACTGATGTTCTCAAAGATCACTGGCAAACCTGCTCCCCTCGGTGGTTAGCAGGCTTCTTCACCTTCATAAAGCCTGGTATGTCTCCCATCCAAAGTTTCTGAGCTTTTAATAAAAAATTCCTGCTTTGCTGCTTTCCCAGACACTGCATGTGGCAGTCCTATATCAGTTTTTGTGTGGGCTGAGGGACCCTTTCCCTTATCCTTCGCCTCTTCTCTTCCTTTCTTCTATTCTTTTCAATTTTCCATTTTCCAAATCCTTTTTCCCAAAAACCTCCCTTTTGTCCTTGTATCTATTCCCCTCTTTATCTATCTCCTCTACACTTTCTCCCCATCTGCTGCCATCTCCCTGTGCACATTCTTTATAAACACATTAGCCTGGTAATCCACAGCCCCTCCCTGTTCCCTGCAGGATTTTAGCCCTTTGGAGAGCCCCATTTCTCTCCCCAAAATTTAGGATTTCTTTAGATAACAAATTTTATTTACAATGGACTAAAAGAGAAAGCTGCAAGGCCAGGCCCTAAATGCTGATTGTCCCTATAGCTCTTTAGTAGGAGATAGCTCCCAATGTCCTCCAGATCTGCCCCTTTGTTTAGCATTAATCTGATTATGTTCATTAATCTTTTTTTTTTTTTTTTTTCTCTCCAAGCAGGCAAGAGATCAGACAGACTGTGAGCTCTTTCAATTTGTTCTTGTCTAAGACCATCTCTTCCTCAGTCTGGATTTACATGGCAAATAGGATTATCAAAAATGGACATTTTAAAAATCTATTTCCAATGGTCTGTGGAAATAGGAGCAAAAAAAAATTATTTCGTTTTAAGCAGTAGTGGTGCATTAGATGGACAAACACAAGCCAAAAGCTCATGCCAGCAGACTAAATTAATTCAGATAGAGGAAATCCATTCTAACAATACTGCAGAGAGAAGAAAGAAAACTAATTAAACCTCTACTCCTGTACAAGCTTGCTAAAGCATATCTACCTAAACAAACTAAAATGACTGAATAGATAGCATAATCCTTCAGAATGTTATAGGATGAAAGGCAGCCAATAACCTATCTCAGTTGTCCATTAGCTTGTATGTATGTATGTATCTGCATGCAGTATATCTACAGTGTTGATCTGATTGAGTTAGGGGTCATTCAAACAGTGTGGTTTTGTAGCTAGGCAAAAACTCAACTATAAGATGCAATCACATTAAAGGATTTTGTAATGGTATTTTGCATTTCTATAGTACTTTCCATCCAAGGAGTTCAATGACCTTTACAAACATTTCATTAAAACATTAATTAACACTCTGAAGTAAATTGATCAAAGTTACTCTTCGGGTGGCCCACATAACCATAGTATCAGAGCCCTTAATCTGTTCATTTTATGGATAGATAGATATAGACTCACATATAGACTCCTATGATTGCTACATTGCCATAGTGTGTTGTACTGTGACTTAGTGAGATGTGTAGATGCACCCAAGCTGGCAGTCAGTGTTGAGTTACAGTGGGTGCATCTACATGTGAAATTAAAGTGAAGTAATATAATTCGGAGCTGTTTGAACTGGAGTAAACTGCTCCCAGGCACAGTGTCTACACTTGTGCCTGAGACAGCAACAATTTGAGCCAGGGTGGAACAGGCCTGGGCTGGTAGGAGGTGTGGGGATCAGCCCTGGGCTCTGGATGTTGGTGCTGGGCAGCAGAGAGGCTGGTTGGGGCACGAGGTTGCAGAACCTGCAGAGCTGTAAGGTTAGGCAGCAGTGAGGAAGCTGACCCCTGCCGGGGGGGGGTGTGTGTGTGTGTGTGTGTGTGTACACACACAAACTTATATGTGCGTGTTGTGTACACACACACACAAATACATGTAAGTTTGAATGTGTCTGTATATATACAGTAAAAGCTCTGTTATCCAGCATCCCCCGGGGAACGGGGGATGCTGGATAATAAAATATGCTGGTTAATTGAGCAGCCCTGAACGCTGCTTCTCATGCCACATCTGGGGCGTCCCTCCGCCCTGCCCACAGCATCACCGCTGGGCCCTGCGGGACAGGGAGGCGGGTCCCGCACAGCCCTGCGCAGCCTGTTATGCTATCAGGCCGTGGGGGCTCAGCAGCACAGGCTGCTTTACCCCAAGCAATGGGGGCTTGAAGAAACCGGAAGTGCCATGGTGGGCACTTCTGGTTTCACTTTATTTTACAAGCCAGCATGCCAGTTGGTAAGATGCCAGATAACAAAACTTTTACTGTACATACATACGTACATACATACAGATATGTAGAGCGAGATATATATGCACACAGATAAGTGTGTGTGTGTGTATATCTATAAAAAGTGTGTCATACATATAAGTATATACCCACATAGTTTGTTTAGTCTCTAAGGCAAACCTACCCTGCCTTCTACTTGACTTCACACTAGCATAGCTAAACTATATCTCAAATCTGTTCCTACAGATAGGTCATTTTTATCTCCTTTCCTTCTCATTTTTCTACTTTAGATTTGTTCATTCCCTTGAATTTGTATAAAATGGGTTGGAAGGGGATGATCCGGCCTTCAGACAGGGAGTTGGACTAGATGATCTAGGGAGGTCCCTTCCAGCCCTTCTTCTCTATAATTCTCTCTCTCTCTCTCTCTCGCTAATATTAGAATTATATACATCTATATCTAGAAAGCCATAGTCTGTCTGTCTGTCTGTCCATAACACTTTATTCACACTCTGATTGGCTGATGGAAACAAGCAATCAGAGTGTGAATACAGTGTTTGGACAGGAGGTGGCGGAGTGCCACCATGATGGTGGAGACACAAGGGATGGAGTGGGTGAGGCCAGCACAGCTAGCCTTGCCCCCCATGACCTGCTCCCTGGAGGCAGCAGCAATGGAGCGGACAGAACGGGGGAGAGGGGGTGAGGCCAACTCTGTTGGCCTTGCCTCCACCCCCCCCCCCCCTTGCTCGTTGGAGGTGTTGGTAGCAGTGCAGGGGAGAGCGGGGTCGAGACGCTGTGGGGGGGGCGAAGCCCGCAGCCTCCCTCTGCTCCCTGCAGGTGGCAAATATGGAAGGGGGGGCTGAGGCCAGCCCCTTCTCTCTCTCCTGCATTGCTACCTCCTGAGGCAGGGGGAGCAGCGGGCCCAGGCTGACGCGGCGGTGGCAGCGGGGAGGGGAGGAACAGGCCTGAAGGGGGGGAGAAGCTGGCCCAGCCTGGCCCGGAAACCACAGTGGGGAGGATGGGGGGGTCGGGACTGGCCCAGACATGG